GAGGAAGACTGACAAAGAGGATCCACCAATGAGGAGGCAGGAGTGCGGGTGACTATATTACCCCAGTCTGCTCAGGGCGGGACTTAGTGGGAGACTGACAGAGGGAATCACCAATAAGGAGGCAGGAGTGCGGGTGAATAAATTAGCCCGTTTTGCCAAGGGCGGGGCTTAGTGGAAGACTGACAGAGGGAATCACCAATGAGGAAGCAGGAGGACGGGTGACTAAATGAACCTCGCCTGTTCGGGGCGGGACTTAGTGGGAGACTGACAGAGGAACCACCAATGAGAAGGCAGCAGGACGGGTGACTATATTACCCCAGTCTGCCTGGGGCGGGCTTAGTGGGAGACTGACAAAGAGGATTCACCAATGAGGAGGCAGGAGGGCTTGTGACTATATTACCCCAGTCTGTCTGGGGCGGGGCTTAGTGGGAGACTGACAGAGGATTCACCAATGAGGAGGCAGCAGGGCGGGTGACTATATTACCCCAGTCTTCCCGGGGCGGGACTTAGTGGGAGACTGACAGAGGGGATAACCAATGAGGAAGAAGGAGGGCTGATGACTAAATGAACCTACCCTGTTCGGGGCGGGACTTAGTGGGAGACTGACAGAGGAACCACCAATGAGGAGGCAGGAGGGCGGTTGACTAAATGAACCCAGCCTCCCCGGGGCGGGACTTAGTGGAAGACTGACAAACACGAGGAGCCAATAGGGAGGCGGGAGGGTGGGTGAAGCTGAGCCCAGTCTTCCTGGGGCGGGGCTTAGAGGAAGACTGACAAAGAGAATCCACCAATAGGGAGGCAGGAGGGCGGGCAAATAAAAGGAACACAGCCTATCTAGGGCAGGGCTTATTAGAAGACTGACAGGAGAGGAACCAATGGGGAGACAGGCAGGGGAGGGGCGAATAAGTGGAGCCCATTCCTCCTAGGGTGGAGCTTACTGGAAGACTGACAGGAAGGCTTGAACCAATCGGGTGAAGGGGTCGAGGGCGAGAGCAAGAGGAGCCGGGGGCGGGGCTTAAGGAGGCAGATTGACAGGTGGAGAGAGGGGCGGGGCCAATTAGGTCACAGATGAGAATGAATGAAGGATCCTAACCCAGATGGAGACACCCCCCCCCCCCAAGGGCCATCTAGTCCAACCACTTTCTTTCTGCCAGGCAGGAAAAGCACAACCCAATCCCCCCCAACAGGTGGCCATCAAGCCTTTGCTTCAAAGCCTCCAAGGAAGGAGCTTCCACTACAGTCTGCAGCAGAGAGTTCCACTGTTGAACAGTTCTCCTTATAGTCAGGAAGTCCTTCCTAATGTTCAGGTGGAATCTCCTTCCCTGACATTTGAACCCATGGCTCCAGTGAGTCCTAGTTTGCAGGGCAGCAGAAAGGAAGTTTTGTTTCCTCTCCCTTAGGACATTCTTTCACATATTGATACACGGCTTCTCTTATGGCTCCTCTCCACCTTCTCTTCTGCAGGCTAAAAAGATCCAGTTCCTTAAGACACTCCTCAGTTAGATGATTATTCATGGTCTCCAGACCTTTGATCGAGTCTCCCTCATCCTCTGGACCCCTTCCAGCCTGGAGTCAATATCTCTTTTCAATTGCTTTAGAATTTGCTATGATACTTCACCTTGTTGATGGGAAGCTTCCCACCGGAGTGGAAATCATCTATCGGACAGATGGCAAGCTGTTTAACCTCAGCAGACTGAAAGCCAAAACCAAGGTTACAACAACATCTGTTATAGAACTCCAGTATGCTGATGACAATGTCGTCTGTGCGCATTCAGAAGAAGATCTACAAGCCACTCTAAACACCTTTGCAGAAGCATACACAAAGCTTGGCCTGTCACTGAACATCGGGAAAACAAAAGTGCTGTTCCAGCAGACACCAGCCAATCTCTCTCCAATGCCAGAGATACAGCTTAATGGTGTAACATTAGAAAATGTGGACCATTTCCGCTACCTTGGCAG